TTAGTGTCCCCACGTGGCAGAGAAATGGGAGCAAGGGCGGTGGTCCCCTGAACAGATGATCTCGACCCGCAGGAGAAGCGAAGGGCAGGCAAGAGGAATGGACACCCCAGGAGTGAGGGGTGGCCTGGGGACAGTGGGGTTCTGGAGACGCTGTCCCTTGGCGTCCCCCGCACCTCCTAGACGTGCGTGCCCGCCGCGGCGCTCTCTGCCCTGCGGATGGTTGTGTCCATTTGCAGGTTCGGCGTCAGCTGCTCCGACCTCCACAGGTACAGCCTGCCCGTGGGGCCTCCTCCTGGAGCCCCAGCTGTCAGACGGGGCTGCCCGGGGAAGGTCCCCAGCACAGACCCAGTGAGAACAGGAGCCCAGGCCCCTCGCCACTGAATGGAAGTTCTCCCCTCTTCTCCCACAGACACCTCTTCCGGCTCCGCAGAAGCATCCGCGCCGTCAGGTAAAGGCTCAGTCACCGCGGCGTTGAAGTCCGAGCCCCGCTTCGTACTTGGTTAGAGAATGAGTCCCCTTAAGGGCCATTGGATTTTTTATTTTTTGGAAGTTTTAAAAAAATATGTTTTTATTGAATTTTTAGACAGAGAGGAAGGGAGAGAGAGAGAAACATCGATGAGAGAGAAGCATCGATCAGCTGCCTCCTGCACGCCCCCTACTGGGGATCAAGCCCGAAGCCTGGGCCTGGGCCCTGACCCGGAACCAAACAGGGACTCTCAGTCCATGGACGACGCTCCATCCACTGACCCACACCAGCCGGGCCCCCTTAAGGACCATTTTGACCACAGAGTCAACCTCAGTGAAAACACAGGGAAGCTCCCTGTCTCTCGTGTTTAACTGTCCTGTTCTCTCGGCTCACACACAGACGTACCCTCGACCTCGACCTCCGCAGACGACGCCGTCCCCTCCGGTAACGTCCCTGCTGTCACTTTCTTCAGTTAAATACGACCAGCTCCCCCTCTTCCGGTTAACACGTGAACGTGTACACCGCCTAGTCTGTCTCCAGCATGAATCCCAGTGCAGGCTGGGGTCCCAGCACCCTTCTCATGGAAATTAGGGTTCACGGTCTCTGCTCATCCAGAGGCCAGGGCTGGTCCCCCCAGGAGGCAAGGCCTTCCCCCTGTTGCACTGGTCCCACCCAGAGGTGCCGAGGGAGGGCGGGGCTGGGGGTCCCCCACCTGCTGGGCAGGGGGTGCTTCGGCCCGTCCAGCACACCCAGACACACACACTGGAGAGCCGGGCTGTGTTGGTGTTGGTTCATTCGCTCTTCTGCTTTCTACCACACTGTTGTGTGACAACTTCCTTTCCTCCCTGATGTTTGAGTTTGTTCTTCGTTGGCAGCTACAACCCCCATTTCAGGCGAAGAGCCCTCCTCTCCGGGCAGGCCCTCTGCGCCCGGCAGGAGCCCTGGTGAGTGAAGGGGAGGAAGCCCGGCCCAGCGAGCCGGACCCCGGGCACACGCGCCCCGTTCCCGGGAGACGCGGAGGAGGGTCGGCCCAGCCAGACCCCGGGCACACGCGCCCCGTTCCCGGGAGACACGGAGGAGGGTCGGCCCAGCGAGCCGGACCCCGGGCACACGCGCCACGTTCCCGGGAGACGCGGAGGAGGGTCGGCCCAGCGAGCCGGACCCCGGGCACACGCGCCCCGTTCCCGGGAGACGCGGAGGAGGGTCGGCCCAGCGAGCCGGACCCCGGGCACACGCGCCCCGTTCCCGGGAGACGCGGAGGAGGGTCGGCCCAGCCAGACCCCGGGCACACGCGCCCCGTTCCCGGGAGACACGGAGGAGGGTCGGCCCAGCGAGCCGGACCCCGGGCACACGCGCCCCGTTCCCGGGAGACGCGGAGGAGGGTCGGCCCAGCCAGACCCGGGCACACGCGCCCCGTTCCCGGGAGACGCGGAGGAGGGTCGGCCCAGCGAGCCGGACCCCGGGCACACGCGCCCCGTTCCCGGGAGACGCGGAGGAGGGTCGGCCCAGCGAGCCGGACCCCGGGCACACGCGCCCCGTTCCCGGGAGACGCGGAGGAGGGTCGGCCCAGCGAGCCGGACCCCGGGCACACGCGCCCTGTTCCCGGGAGACGCGGAGGAGGGTCGGGGGCCAGGCCTTCCCGGTCACGGGTCTCACTGCCGCACAAAGGCAGAGGTGGGGCAGGGCGGGTAGGATAAACAGTGGCAGAGGTCAGCCCCAGGGGAGGCCGAGACCCACACCAGTGGCTCTCACATGTTAGTGAGGGGGGGCTCTTCTTTGTTCACCTGGCTGGGGTGACAGCTGTTCTCGCAGCCGGTAGCGCTCCCACGAGTACCCCCGCGTGAAGGCCTGGTGGCCCAAGCCGCCCCGTCTCTGCAGGAAGTGACAGGGCAGACAGGTGGCCCTTAGGCCTTCCCCGCCTCCTGCCCGGCCCTACTCACCTCACTGAGCTCAGGGTGACGGCTCCCCCCCTCCACGCCTCCGAGAGCCAGGCAGAGCGAGGACCCGCAGGTGCTCAGAGGGAGACCTGTGGATCCGCCTGCAAACCGGCTGCTGAATGTCTCCGTCCGCAAGACCACAAGCAGGGGAGTCTCTGCTCACAGCTGCGGACCAGACTTGTTCTCAGAAACACGCAGTCTGCGGCGTAACATTTCAGCGAAGCCACCTTTCAACACTTCCTTTCACTAAAAAAAAAAATTGTTTCGGCAGCTACAGGTCTGATTTCACCAAAAATGACACCGCCACCTGGCAACGACCCTGCGCCTGTGCCCGGGTCAGCCTTAGGTGGTGGCGTGCACCGCCCCTCGGTGCAGCCATCGCGCCTCCGCCTTGCTCCGCCCTGGCCTTGTGCTCGGAGCTGCGCCTCTGGGGTCCTGCTCCTTCACATGTGCCCGTGGGATCCGAACTGATTCCCTTCACTTAATTTTCAGACCCCGCAAACTTTTTTTCTACAAAAGCTAATGCGATTCAAAAATTCCGTGTATTCATAAAGCTTCTCCTCTGACCATTCGGTAAACTGTTCTATTTTTGGAGGATAAACAGCATACAATACCACCAGTTACATTTGACGCCCAGAAAATACAATGTAGCAGACAGTGTTTCTGCATCCAGTCCAAAGTAGAAATGTAAACCAAACTAGTCAAAATGCCTGGTTCTTTTTCAGCTTTGGCTATAAATATGTGACTTTCAGAATGTGCAACGTTTGAAGCTTAATTTTCTTTTTTACAGTCACAGTGTTTGTTGGTGAAGAAATGGTCCCTTTCCCAGGTAATATTTCTTTGTTTCTAAGTATTAAAATGATCATATCATTATTATTATTTTTTTTTTTTAATCCTCACCCGAGGACATTTTTCCATTTTTTGTTCAGATAGAGTGGGAGGGAGAGAGAGGAAGAGAGAGAGAGAGAAACATCGATGTGAAAGGAACACATCGAGTGGCTGCCATCCACATGACCAACCAGGGCCGGTGACAAACTGCAACCGAGGTACATGCCCTTAGCAGGAACCGAACCCGGGTCTCCCCGGACCGTAGGCCAGTGCTGTAACCGCTGAGCCAAACCGGCCAGGGCCGTATCATTATTAATAGTGATAAGATCATTTTATTTTTCATTCAAATTTCCTACTCTTACCGGAGGGTTTCATGCACAAACACCTTTGTTGGCGAGAAGGCCCCAGTTCACCCCGAGGCCTCACTCAGAAGAGATGTGCCTTGATTGATAGCTCGAGCAGCATGGTTGTCTTGCTCCCACCATCACAGCAACTAGTTAGATGAGGAGAAAGCAGCCACCCGAGACCAGGATGCTGTAGTGACCGAGAGACCAACGCCAGGGGTGTGTGCTGCTCCCACAGAGCGTCTTCTGTGTACCCAGCACAGCCAGAAACTGAAAAATGGGCACTGGCAGCCAATTTACATGAAGACAAACCATTTGACTCATGCCTGTGGGTGTGGTACCACCAACATAACACAGGCTTTCACCCCAGAAAGTTCCCTCATGCCCCTTTGCAGTAAATATCTCCCGCCTCCCCCCGCAGCCCCTGATCTGCTTCCTGTCTCTGTGTCTCGGTTTGTTATTCCAGAATCTCATGTGGACGGAGACAAATAGCATTGCTTTGTCTGGGTGGTTCCATAGTGCGCGATTTGTTTCTTTTATCGCTGAGTAGCATTCCAGTGTGTGGATGAACCACAATGTATCCGTTCTCCTGTGGATGGACACTAGATTGTTTCCGCTTTTTGTCTATTGTTGAGAATTCTGCTATGGACAAATTCTTCTGCACACGTGTTGTTATTTATCTGAATAGCTGTGTTACATAATATAGGTTTTTTTTTAAATTATCGAGAGAGAACATTGTATTAGTTTTAGGTGTACAGCATGACTCAACATTTGGCTATATTGTAAAATAATCACAATAGTCTAGTTACCATCCATCATCTTACATAGTTACAGACTATTTTCTGATGATGAGAATGTTAAGATCTACTCTTAGCAACTCTCGACTGTCCAGTCCAATGTGCAGTAGTTGACGGCACACCGTGGTCACCATGCTGCACGTCACACCCCAGGACGCCCTTATCTTGCAGCTGGGACGTTGTACCCACAATGGAGCTTTTACAGTTAAAACGTTGGCTTGTATTCATCAAGAGTAAAAGACATTTCTCTGGGTAGATTTCGTCTGAGGTGGGGAGCCCTGCCTGTTTAAAATCATTGTCTTCCAACGGTTCAGGTGTTTTGCCCTTTTTTTTCTTTTCTTTTTTCTTTTGGTATTTAGTATTTTTGTTTAAAGAGAATTCTTAGGAATCTGGGAAATTAGGCTGCCCATAACAGCCGTTCCTTGAGGATTTCCGTTCATTAAGGTTCACTTGTTGTGAAAGAGTGCCGGGGAGAGGAAAAGGTGGGGTGGGGGGGAGACTCAGACAGAACTCACCCGTGTTATCCTCTCTGTCGTAAGTGACAAGGAACCCTGAGCCTTGGCCGGCGCAGGGACCCGCCCGCGCGCCCGCTGCCCTGACCCCCTGACCGCTCTCTCGCCTCCCGCAGACCAGCCAGTGCGCCTGGCGGGCGGGCGCAGCCGCTGCGAGGGCCGGGTGGAGGTCAGGCACCAGGACGTGTGGGGCACCGTGTGCGACGACCACTGGGACCTCAGGGACGCCCGTGTCGTGTGCCGCCTTCTGCGCTGCGGCTCTGCGCTCAGCGCCCCGGGGCGCAGCCGCTTCGGGCCGGGCACGGGGCCCATCCTGCTGGACGACGTGCACTGTGCGGGCACCGAGGACGCGCTGGAGCGCTGTGCCCACGCGGGCTGGGCCCGGCACGACTGCCAGCACCGCGAGGACGCGGGCGTGGTCTGCACAGGTACGAGGGCTCCACCCGGCCGCGGCCTGCGGGGCCCTGGCCCTCCTTTTCCCTCCAAGCATCCCCAGGGTCAGACTCAGCACCCCCCGCGTGCCAGGGAGGCCGGGGCGCAGTGCTAGGACAGGACGAGCACACCTGTGACGGCCACTGTGGTCAGTTCTCAGCACACAGCTGTCCAGTTGCAGCTCAGAGCACTGCTTGTCCCGAAACACAGCTGGAACCAGGAGGGAAGAGGGGACAGTGATACAATGGCGAAGGTCACAGGACTTGCTGCTGTCAGTCCGACTGCAATGTATCCAAGTGCCGTTTCAATTCAGGGCCATCGAGGCGCAGTCCTGGAGGGCTACCCTTCTCCCCCGACCCAGCCCTCGGAAGTCAGACCCTCCAATGTTCCGAGTTCCTCTTGTGTCCCTTTCATCCAAGATGTGGCCTTTATCTTTGCCGAAATGCTTTTTATCTCCCAACATCTGTCCTGTCATTCTGGGCTCCGTAGGCTGACCCCTTCCGTGTGGAGTAGTCCTTCCTTATATCTGTCCTGGATTGACCCAAAAATTCAGAGTTATGCGGTGCTACGCTTTGGGGCACAAGTCCAGCCCGCCTTGTCTGCTCCATTCCTTGGGCACAGAAATGGGGCCCACGCAGAAGAGCGGCCGGAGCCCCCTTGAGACCCACAGGAATCCTGCAGGAAGGAGCCTGTAGCCTGTCTGCCCGGCTGAGGGGTGTTCTGGCCCCAGCCTCACCTTTGTTGTGTCTGTTCGCAGTTCCGGCCAGTGCTCCTGCTGCGGGGCCCACTGTAAACAGTCATTCATTTTCCCTCCTGGATCATACACCAGGGGGTTCCCTTCATCAGGCACAGAACCAGGGGTCTGGGACCAGCCATGCTGCCTGGCTCCGACCCTGGCCCCGGGTTACTGTCCTGCCTTGCCTCTGGGCTAGGGACACCTCTGAGGGCCACACACTTCCTGTCTCCCAGCCTGAGCTTCCAAGTGTGCCAGTGCCTGGCGGGGGACACCAGCCCGCATCCACGGCTGTGGCAGTGTTTGTAACCTGCAAAGCCCTGTGTCCACTATTCTCTTGCTCCAACAAGTCTTCGTGTTGATGACACCGTGCTCTCAGCACTGGTGCACACGAGCCAGAGCCCCTCCCGGGGTGGGGGAGGGGCGCTCCCTGCGGCTGCTGGGGGCCCTGGCTCTCCTGTCCGCCCTGGAGGACTTGCAGCCTCGGCTTTAGCAGCTAAGCCAAGTGGGCCTGCTGCGGGGCGTCGGCCGACTGCTGCTGCCTGCCCTCGCCCCGCGCTTCCCACAGCTGACTGCTCGCCGCCATTCCCCCCCCAGGTGCAGCTGAGCCTGCGGTGCCCAAGGACCACGGTAAATTCTCCTGCTCTCCTCGGGGCTGGGGCTGTGCAGACGGGAGCTAGAGAGCAGTCGTCTGGGGCGGGGAGCGGACCAGCTTCCGTGTCTCCACGGAGACCCCCGGTGTCTCCATCCACTCCGGGGCTTTAGGAAGTCGGGGGAGAAGCACCTTTGCACCGACCCCCGCCCCTTGCTTCCACTCTCGGTTTCCAACCAGCTACATGCATGTTCAGGCTCAGGTGTTCTCAACCTGTGACACGAGCTGCCCTTGAACTGCTTAGGAGAGGCTCTGACTCCCGGCCCCTGGGTGTGTGCTGTGGGTTGGAGGCCCCAAGGGTGTGGTGTGGCTTTTGGAAAAGGGGGATATAAATAAAGTCAGTGACAGTCAAGTCAAAGTGGGGGGTGATGAGAGCTCAGCCAGCCTGGGGCACTGGCGGCACTTGTATGACGTAAACACACCCGCAGCCCACAGCCCTGACCTACACGTCCAGGGGCTCAGGCTCTCTGTGTGAGTTTCTCCCCATCCTCCTGCTCCCACAGCCCAGCTCTCCTGCCTGCCTCACCGCTTCCAAGTCACCATTGACCGGGGCTATCTCCGGAGGCTGGGCTACTCCTCCTGGGACGTCCACTTAAATGATGAGCTGTGTCGCCCCCAAGTCACGGGGCGCTACCTGATCTTCAGCATCCCCTATGGCCACTGTGGCACCATCCAGCAGGTGAGGAACTGTCACGGTAATGACACCCTTCTGGGAATGGGGCCAAGGAGAGTGGTTTGGAGAATTCAACCACCTGGTAAAAACCTGGGTAGGGACCGAAGAAAGGCATAGGTCATGACCTTGTTTCTGAGTTCGGGGAGATCTGGAACAGTTCACTAATTTGTCTGAAACATGCCTTTCATTGGGGAATTTGGGTACATACTGAATTTGGAATGCACAGTAATAGGTGCTGAGTGCTGATGGCCTGAATGATGGATGGATGGATGGATGGATGGATGGATGGATGGATAGATGGATGGGTGGATGGATGGACAGATGGGTGGACAGATGGATGGGTGGATAGATGGATGGGTGGATGGGTAGATTGATGGATGGGTGGGTGGGTGGATAGATGGATGGGTGGATGGATGGATGGGAGGATGGATGGATGGATAGATGGATGGGTGGATGGATGGACAGATGGGTGGACAGATGGATGGGTGGATAGATGGATGGGTGGATGGGGAGATTGATGGATGGGTGGGTGGGTGGATGGATGGGTGGGTGGATGGATGGATGAGTGGGTGGGTGGATGGATGGATGGGTGGGTGGATGGATGGATGGATGGATGGATGGATGGATGGATGGACAGATGGGTGGACAGATGGATGGGTGGATAGATGGATGTGTGGATAGATGGATGTGTGGATAGATGGATGGACGGATGGATGGATGGATGGATGGATGGATGGATGGATGGATGGATAGATGGGTGGATGGGAGCAATTACCTTAGTGCCAAAGCCAAAGCATTTTTTATAACATGCTTCTTTATTTGGTATTATTTCACACCTACCATGTCAAGCTATGGTGCTGGGCATGGGAAAGGACAGATGATCTGTCTGTCTGCCTGACTTCTATGTTTCCAACCAGGTAGCTAGCTATATTTCCCAATCTAGAAAATAAATATCTAGGACATTTATGTATAATGAAATGCATATGTTTATTTCATCTTTTTCCTTAACCACCTACTTATTTTACAAAACACTGTCACTGAAACTAAGGAAACAAAAATACCACAGAGAGAGGGAGAGGATATAATCACAAACTTTCTTCTCAGCACACTTCTCAGCGATGTCGTGTGTTCCCAAGCAAGAGCCCACACTATCTGTTTCTCCATTCTTTGTATCCATGTGTACACACACACACACACACACACACACACGAAACACTTGACGTTGTTGGAGGTTGAATTCATCCTAATGGCCTGCACGATGCCAAATAACCACTTTAATTGCACCCCTGACGCTTGTCTGTTTGGTCGAGCAGACCACGGTCATCCGTGCCCTTGTCACTGTGGAAATTCCACTTTTCACCTCAGCAGTCGGCCCAGGAGCCATGCTTGAAGCGCCTGTGTCTGGGAGGAGGGCAGCCCTGGACGCTTCTGGGCCATCAGGAGGATTTTCAGCTGTCCTCCCTGGCCATGGCTGGTCCAGCTTCCCCAGCAAGCCTCCTGTGCTGACCACAGTGCTGGGGCCAGAGGACCCCGCAGGCCAGGAACCGCCTGGGGTGACGGCCAGTCCCAGGCCACCCACAGGGAGACGATCCCGTGTCTGATTCAGTCTGTGAATGAACAACCTGCTGGGTGCCGAGGACACAGACTGCCGGGCCTGCGCGTGGCTCTCTGAGAACAGGGAGCCAGGCACCGCACAAATGCACAAGTGACAGTCCCTTAGAGTGAAAGGATTGAGACATCAATAAAACAAAGAAGGAAACAGAAAATGATTCAGGTGGAAGGAAGGTCACGTTGAACAGGGTGGCCAAGGAGCTGAGGCCTGATGGAGGGGATGGAGCCAGGTGAGGATGGGCGGGATGGCGCCAGGCAGGTGCAAAGGCCCTGGGGCAGCAGGAAGCCCCGAGGGCTCAGGAAGACTGGAGGCGTGTGAACACCGGGAAGCTCAAGGTCAGGTTGGAAAGGGCCAGGGCCGTGTGGTCATGAAGTTTAGCTTTTTTCTAAACTGTGCATTTTCCACAAGGGCCATGTCACCCTCAAGTGGGGGAGGGTGAGAAGCTATGGATTCTTAAGGGCACAAAAAGAAAAAAAGCCCTCTTTATGGGTAAAGCACATATACAGTCAGAACATATAGTATATTGTTGTACTAAAATTTCGTGATAGGGGATGAGAGCGGGCGGGACGAGCAGGCAAGAACACGTCTAAAAGGCAGACCCGTGACAAAGGTGGTCCAGGCAGTCCCAGAAGGTTCCCAAGCAGAACGTCACAGGATCTGAGTCGCATAAACCTGGGATTCCCGGGACAAATGTCCCCGAGCAGGCTAACTCTCTGGGGGACACAGGACTGTGGGGAGGCTGCTGGGCTCATCAGCCTTCAGTTCCGTCGCCCCTTCAAGCTGTGCTGGATTGGAAGGAGCAAGGCTGAGAGTCGAGGTCAGCAGGAGCCGGACTGGTCTGGGGCCAAGAGCAGGGAGGTCCAGAGACGAGTAAGGGCTCCGATGGGGCGCTCTGTGCCTGTCTGAGAGCACCAGGCGCTGAAGGACGGGAGTATGGGACGGACTCAGCAGCCACCGCGGGTCTCCCGCCCCCCTGGTACCACTGCAGCCTGGCCTCACGGGAGGGAGGGAGGGAGGGGGTCCAGGCTCACCCACTGAGGGGCCCTGCCTGCACCCACCATGGCGTCAGGTAGCACAGAGGTCAGCCTGGCCTCACAGGGAGGGAGGGAGGGGGTCCAGAGGTCCGCCTGGCTTCACGGGAGGCGGGAGGGAGGGGGTCCCAGGTCACCCACGAGGGGCCCTGCCTGCATTCACCACGGGGTCAGTTTCGCACAGAGTCAGCCTGGCCTCCCAGGGGGGGGAGGGGTCCAGGCTCACCACTGAGGGGCCTGCCTGCGCCCACCAGCGTCAGGTAGCACCGAGGCAGCTGGCCTCACGGGAGGAGGGCGGGAGGGGGCCAGGCTCACCCACTGAGGGGGCGCTGCCGCACCACCACGGCGTCAGGTAGCCCAGAGGTCAGATGGCCCACGGAGGGGAGGAGGGAGGGGGCCAGGCTCACGCGCTGAGGGGCCCTGCCTCACTCACCATGGGTCAGGTAGCACAGGGTCGCTGGCTCACCGGGAGGGAGGGAGTGGGTCCAGGCTCACCATGAGGGGCCTGCCTTCGCCCACCCCGGCGTCAGTGCACCGAGGTCGAGCGGCACCGCCAGCGAGGCCTGGTCACGAAGCAATGTTCCTCACAGGGGCCGGGAGCACTGGCCAGCACCCCTCTCGCCCTCCCAGGACAGCCTCGGCTCCCTCAGCTACTCCAACTCCATCAGAGGCCGGCCGTGGGGCCACCCTGGCCGAGTGGTCGTGCGGCACCGGGTGCCGCAGCTGAAGTTCACCTGCACCGTGGACGGCCCGTCAGCCATTGAAATTGTTCCTGGGGTTGACGTCGCGGGGCAGGGCGCCGGCTACGACGTGTCCATATCGTTCCTCGAGTTGCCCACGTCCCGGCACATGGGGCCGTACTACGCCAGCCAGAGGAAGGAGGTCTTCCTCCAGGCCACCCTCCGCAGCCCCGATCGCCACCTGAGGCTCGCGGTGGACACCTGCGTGGCCTCTCCAGATCCCCGTGACTTTACGACTGTCAAGCACGATTTGATCCGGCACGGGTAAGGGACGTGGAGGCCGCTAGGGTTGGCTGCTGTGCCCGCGCTCCTGTGGGGCTGCTCAGCGTGTGGCCTAAATCCTGATTGTGCCCGAGGGTCCTCCCAGGCCCCAGAGGCAGCGTGGAGGCCCTCACCTGACCTCTGACCCCAGAGGGGCAAATAGAGGAAGCGCGGGCACTTCCCTTGAATGACCAGAGTCCTGTCCCAGCCCCTCAGAGCCCCCGGCGTCATGGCCTGGCTGTGTCCCAGTCCTGGGGCTGCGGGCCCGCCCGGCTGGGCTGCTGGGTCGTCCCAGGCCACGCTCTTGCAGTGGAGAGGTCGAGTCTGGCTCCTCCGGGCAAACGAAGGCTGTGTCGAGTTAGAACTCGGATGCTTGTCGGCCTTCGTAGCTCCCTTGTCCCCGAACAGGGCAAATGCTGATGGATGGGCAACCAGGGAAAAACAACAGAAACCATCGCTTCCCAGCGGCAGGCTTAGCACGGCCAGAGCCCTGCAGCCTGAAGCCCTGAGTAGCACCCAGCCCGTTTTCCAGGCCCGGAGGCACGAGAGGCAGCGCCCCCTACAGGCGGTGTGAGCCCTGCCTGGGCTGCGCACAGGGGCAGACTGCGCTGTGCGGAGTGGGCGGGCTCCTCCCTGTGCCCCTCACAAGCCCATCAAGGAGAGGGGCTCAGTATGGTGCCAGAATTTAGCAACTGACACTTTTTCTCCTGCTTGCTTTGGTTTAAATGTTCTCTTCTGTGATCTGCGGTCGGGTTCAGGTCTTTCTTCTTTTCCGATACGTGTGTCCGACACTCCGCCCTCAGCGCCGGCTTGGCTGCTGCCTGCAGACTGTGTGACCTGCACACTCATTTCCTGCGCGCTTGGAAATGTCTTTAAATTGCTTTTGAGACTGTTTTCTTTGATCTGGGGGTTATTTAGAAGTGTGCTAATGTCTGAATATTTAGGAATTTTCTGTTACTGATTTCTAGTTTAATTCCATGGTGATCGGAGGGTGTATTCTGTTCTTTTTCATTTGTTAAGGTGTATTTTAGGGCCCAGAATGTGGTTCAGAGAAGCTGTATTCCATTGTTGATAGAATGTTCTACGCGTGTCAGTTAGGTGTAGCTGATTGGTAGTGAAGTGTCCAACCGCGCAGTGGATCTGCCCACGTCTCACTGCGGTTCCGTCAGTTGGTGGATCTGCCCACGTCTCACTACGGTTCCGTCAGTCGGTGGATCTGCCCACGTCTCACTGCGGTTCCATCAGTCGGTGGATCTGCCCACGTCTCACTACGGTTCCATCAGTCGGTGGATCTGCCCACGTCTCACCGCAGTTCTCAGTCGGTGAATTTCCCACCTTCTCACTGTGGTTCCATCGGCCAGTGCCTCGCATAGTGTGCCACCCTGTTGTCAGGTGTGTCTCCATTAAGGGTTGTTCCGTCTTTCTAGAGGATCGGCCCCTTCATCTCCATCCCTGATCATTGTCCTGGCTCGGAGGTCTGTGTTGTTTGAAATTAGCTGCTCCAGCTCGCTTTTGATTAGTGATAGCGGAGTCAGTCTCTATCCCTTTACTTTCAATTCATCTGCGTCTTTATCTTTAAATGGGTTTCTCATAGACAACATATAGTTAGGTCTCGATTTTTAAAAAATCTGCTCTGGCAGTCTCTGTCTTTAAATCAGTATATTTAGACCCTTCACATTTAAAGGGATTGTTGATATGGTTGGATTAAAATCGACCTTCATGAAAACTGTTTTCTAGTCACTGCATTTGTCTCTCCCCCACCCCTCTCTCCTTTCTCTGCCTTTTCTGGTTTTAATAAAGCATTTTATTTTTTTATTTATTTTTTATCCTCACCCGAGGACATTTTTCCATTTTTTACTCAGATAGAGCGGGAAGGAGAGAGAGGAAGAGAGAGAAACATTGATGTGAAAGGGACACATCGAGTGGCCACCCCCCACACGACCCAACCAGGGTCAGGGACAAACTGCAGCCAAGGTACATGCCCTTAGTGGGAACCGAACCCGGGTCTCTGTGGACCGCAGGCTGACGCTCTAACTGCTGAGCCAAACCGGCCAGGGTTAATAAAGCATTTTATATGCTGGTTTTAATTGAGCATTGTCTATTATTCCATTTTATCTCCTCTCTTGATGTATCATTTAGACTTTTTTCTTAACGTTTTCAGTGGTGGTACTAGGTTTTATAAAATGCATTGTAAAAGAATCTACGTTCAGGCCCTGGCCAGTGTGGCTCATGGTTGCGTGTCGTCCCCTGCACCAAAAGGTCAAAGTTCGATTCCCTGCCAGGGCACATGCCCAGTGTTCGGGTTCGATGCCCTGTAGGGGGTGTGCAGGAGGCAGCTGGTTGATGTTTCTCTCTCACATTGATGTTTCTCTCCTTCTCCCTACCACTCTCTCTAAAGTCAATAAAAACATTTAAAAAATAATCTAAGTTCACCTTTAACTAGCACAGCCGCTACCTTTCTTTAGTCATCCCTTTGACAAAACAGAGTAGGCTTTTTGAAAGCAACCATTCTAGCTAGAATTTAATCACCTTGTTTTACTTTTATTATGTTTATTTCTATTTCTGGCCAGGAATACTGGTCTTTCCAGTCATAGGGGTGTTCTAAAACTTTACAGGAAACAAAGGATGATAGCGGAAAGGGCTCCGTGGGAACTCGGAGGGCTGGGCCCGAGCCTGACGGTGTGAGTCGGAGGGACCTCACTGTGCCCTCAGTTAACCCTCGTGGTCTGGGTCCTCTTCCCCACAGGTGCATCAGGGACAACACCTACGTCAGCCTTCACTCTGACCAGAAGAACAGGGCCCAGTTCAAGTTCAACGCCTTCCACTTTCTCAGCAGCTACGACGTGGTCTACTTGCGGTGTGAAGTCGCCGTGTGCAAAGTGGGGGACCCCTCCTCCCGCTGCTCCCAGGGCTGTGCAGGGCGGAGGCGGAGGGGAGCGGGCGCCGTGGGGGCTACCGAGGTGCAGGCTGAGCATCTCCAGGTGGTGGGGCCACTGGCGATCCACAGGGGAATTGATCAGAGCAAGAACTTGGTGTGATTTCTCCCATTTTCCATGCATCTGTTAGAGATTAGAAGCAAAGGCTATTTCTCTTCAATCGAGCGATAAGTTTGGCGAATCAGAAGTTGTCCACATGGAGACAGAAACAGCTGAAGAGGTTCTGTCTGAGGTTTGTTGCTAAATAAACCTTTTCTGATGACCAAACTCAGGTGGTCGCTCTCTTCACGGGAAACGTTGCGTATCTAATTCTTCCCTTTCAAGCGCATGATCATTGTCTAAACTGTCCAAATTGTTACAAAGTAGAGTCAATTGTTACAGAGTCATCTCTCTATGACATGTTGCCAACTTGCAGAGTTTTTACATTGACTCCCTAGCGTTGAGATGCTAGCAGGTGGATCTTTCTGTTCCCGTCTCTCTGGTGCTGTGAGAATTTATGTTCAGATGTTGCCAAGAGTCCAGAGAAAAATAAATAAAGGGTCTGTCGGGAAGCCCCCACCCCCGCTCTTTCTGTACAAACTCGAATAACTGTCTGTGGGATCAAACACAGCCTCGGCCATCGTCAGTCACTCAAGACAAGCTCCGTGTTCACTGCGAAGGGAGCGATTGGACCCCGGCTTGGCTGGGTTCTGGTTGTCGCCTGCCAATTAGGTTCTGAAACAAATGACAAGAACCGCTCCTGGCTGGTTCCCGGGTCGGCTCAGGACCCCTGGAATCACACACATTAGCATGTTCCCACACCCTCCGGGACAGGGGGCAGCACCACTGCATCCCATCTCTTTTCTTATCTTAACAGAAAAAGACTGGGTGGACCCTGGCTGGGTGGCTCCAATGGGTAGAGCATCGCCCCTGTTTTCGGGTTCGATTCCCAGTCAGGGCACATACAAGAATCTACCAGTGAATGTATGAATAAGTGGGAAAACACCTCTCTCTCTCTCTCTCTCTCTCTCTCTCTCTCTCTAATCAATACATGAAAAATTTAAAAACAAAAGAAAAAGTCCTGCTCTAGGCTCAGTACCTTCAAAGTCGTCTTGAAGAAACAGACTTGAACATAGGTTTTTGCATGTCAAGAACTATTCAGTAGGAATGTTTAAAATATGCGCCCTCAATGCCAAGAAATGGTCCCATCTTTGTCAGGAAATTGTGTGTACCAGAAGAGGGTGCAGTGTGGTCACGTCCCCCAGGGAGGAGGCAGCGTTTGGCGGAGGCTGGCAGCGAACCCTGAAGTCCTGAGAGGTGGAGACCAGACAGGTGGCTCGAGGACGGACTTGGCCTCCAAAGGGACCGTCTTGGGGTCATGCAGGCGTGCCCTCATCCACAACAGGGAAAACATGGCACTGGGGTTGGTTCTGACGGACTTCCCTGCTTATCCATAGAGAAAGCTGATGACACGTCATTGCTGGTCAGTTTGGGGAAGATGGTGTCCTTTTTTTTTTTTTTATTCTCACCCGAGGACATTTTTGCATTTATCTTTCAGATAGAGTGAGAGGGAAAGAGGGAGAAAGAGAGAAAAACATCAATGCGAGAGAGACACATTGACTGGTTGCCACCCACATAACCCCAACTGGGGCTGAGTTCAAACTGCAACCGAGGTACGTGCCCTTAGTGGGAACTGAACCCAGGACTTGCTGGTCTGCAGGCCAGTACTCTAACCGCTGAGCAAACCAGCCAGGGCAAAGAAGATGGGGTCTTTCTCTGTACCGCAGGCCGACGCTCTAACCGCTGAGCAAACCAGCCAGGGCTAGAAGACAGTGTCTTTAAATCAGAAGTTCATCAGTTTCCTCCTCAGTCCCATGAAGTAATTCTAGCACTTGCCATCTAGTTCATGCAGATGCTTCTAACACATCAGTTTGGTTTTTTGTTTTTATTTTTATCCTCACCCGAGGATATTTTTCCATGTTTTGTACAGATAGAGTGGGAGGGAGAGAGAGGAAGAGAGAGAGAGAGAAACATCGACGTGAAGGGACACATCGAGTAGTTGCCACCCGCACGACCAACCAGGGCCGGGGACAAACTGCAACCGAAGTACGTGCCCTTAGCGGGAACCGAACCCGGGTCTCTCCGGACCGCAGGCCAACACTCTAACCACTGAGCCAAACCGGCCAGGGCCATCAGTTTGTTTTTCCAAGTAACGGAGCGGCTCGAGTTACTCTCTGCGCCCTGCCCTGGGGGAGGGGCTGCCACTGGCCAGCATCGGGCGTTGTGTGCGTTTGAACAAATCCCCACTGTGGAGGTGTCGGCGATGAGCAGGCTGGATTCTAAGAATAATGAACAGGGGCCCGTGAACTCCCAGGTCAGGTTCTCGGGGTGCTGCTCGACAGATGGGAGCCAGGAAGCTGCCCTTCCAGAAGCGCCCAGGTGCCTCGGTGTGGACGGCCCTGCGGGTGGGGCACGGGTGTCCTAAATCCCAAGCCGACGGCTCTCAGGTCGGAAGACTGTAAACCTTGCGTGTCTTGTGTGCGTGTCTTGGGGGGAGATACAGCTTGGAGTAGGACTGGGAGAAAGGACAGAATCTTTGCCAGCTACGCTGAAGACAGTTCTGAATGCGTTTCCAGCCCTCTGTGGGCTTGAGAGCCGACAGCACGCTGCCTCCCAGAGGGGTCACCACACTCGCAGGCTAACGGCAGCGTCCCAGACGCCTGCTCACGGACGTCCCGGGACGGGTTCCGTCCAGGCTGCCTTCCCTCGAGACCCACATTGTAATAGCTCCTGTGTCATTTCGGGCCCATCATCATCGTAACGATTCATTTCCATCCTTACGGATCCCTGTTGTTTAACAACCAAAGTGAAAAGTTAGGGGATGTGTCCCAAAGGGTTGAAAATGTTTGAGATCTTGAAGTTCTAGAAAATGTAGAACAAAGCACAGACGTATGTCCTTCAGGTTTAAAATAAGGACAATGGCCCTGGCCGGTGTGGCTCAGGGGTCGAGCATTTGTCCTGTGCACCAAAAGGTCTCCAGTTCGACTCCCAGTCAGGACACACGCCTGGGTCACAGGCCCAGTCCCCAGCTCACGGTGAAATCAGTTGCACCGCATGTCATTTTGCTGAAAGTCACAGAGCTACTGACGGCATTCGGTGCGGACTGACTGGACCTGGGCTGGAAATGGCTGAAGGGGAAATGCCAGCTGCCCGCCAGGGGGGAAGCCTGCAGTGAGGTTTAGCAAGAAGGTTAGGAGACGTCTCCGGGCTTTCTCATCTGCTGGACAGGAATGACCGTGTCGGGGAGGTTGGGGGTCTCCCGAAGCCCTGAGGCTGGGGGTGCGGCCCTGTTCTCAGCTTGGCCTCACGCTCCCACCACCTGGACCCCCATCAAATGTTTGTGAGTATGTATCGATTTCAAAATAAAAAGTTTAAAATCAAAGGGAAAAAAATGGATGCTGCCCCACCCCCAGAACTGTGAGCTAATTGTACGGGGTGCCGGCTGGGATCCGAGTCTGTGGCGCCCCCTGCTGGCCCTCATGCGCAGCGATGCCTGGAACCACAAGCCTGGTGTGTAGGCCGGGACTCGGACCACACCGGCCGGGTCCTCACCCTGGTCATTCCACTCACCAGCTGTGCACCCTGAGACGAGTTCCCACCTCCCCAGCCTGTAGTACCCGTGCTGACCTCGCGGGGCCTTTGTGACCAGGGCCAGGGCGCGGCCGTCAGTCAGTGACCGTCTGCCATGCTCAGCGCCCCGGTGACAGCTGCCTCCACCTCGAGGAGCCCCGACTTCTTCCCACAGAGACTCCCTGCTGCGGCAGAGTCCCACCACCCTCTGCAGAAACGGAAGCCCGTGCTCACTGGGGGTGAGAGAAGATGACCCTGCTGGTCTTGTTCCCGGCCCTGCCGGCGCCAGGTGCGGTCGTCGCTGGGGCTGAGCTGCACAATGAAGGCTGCGTGGACCTCTGACTGGCTGGTGCCTCCCAGGCTGGCCCTGCGGCTGGACTTGCCTGCCAGAGACCGCAGTGGGCACTGAGCAGAAGCAGCAGCCCCGGCCCCCCTCCAGGACCTGGGAATCCCCCCGTGGCACACCCACACTAGCATGCCGGTCACTGTCGAGGGAATTTAGCTGGCACCAACAGAAGCCACCATTTCACTGCGTTCTCCTTGGATCCCTTGGGTAGAGAGAACCTACTCTTTCTCTCACGACGGTGCATGAAATAATAAAGAAGAGGGCCTGGAGAAAGGTGACTTTATTATTATTTTTGAATCCTCATCCAAGGATATTTTTCTATTTATCATCAGCTGGAGTGAGAGAGGGAGGGAGAGAGAGAGAAACATCGGGGTGAGAGAAACAACTGGTTGCCTCCCGCATGACCCCAACCAGGGCCGGGGACCGAACCACAAAGGTACATGCCCTTGACCGGAATCAAACCCATGACTCTTTGGTCTGCAGGCCGATGCTCTGACTGCTGAGCCAAACCAGGCAGGACAAAAAAGTTGACTTTAAAAAGAAGCTTTATATCTAGAGATATAAAAAACTCTCACAACTAAACAATTAAAAGACAACCCGCATAAAAATGGACAAAGGACCAAAATAGGTATTTCGCCAAAGAAGACAAGAATGGCCCACAGGCACATGAAGAGATCCTCAACATCACTAGTCATCAGGGAAATGCACATCGAAAACAGTGAGATACCACTTCCCACAGATTAGGATGTGAAGCTAAATTAGAATCAAGACAGAAAATAAACGTGGGCGAGGATGTGGAGTTGGGAGCCTTCGACACTGCTCCTAGGAATGTGAAGGGAAAAGCTGCTGCAGAGTCTGGAAATCCCTCAACAATTAAACACAGAATGACCAGAACTCAGCATCCACGTCTAGACAAGTCCCCCACAAAAACTTGTACGCTAATGTTCATAGCAGCACTACTCAAAATAATCACTAAGTGAAAACAACCCCAAAGCCCACCAGCTGATGAGTCGGTGAAACACGGTCTGTCCACCAGTGGAGGCTGCTGGTGCTAACGAGGGATGGAGTGACGTACGGCACAGAAGGGACGGGCTGGTCACCTCGTGCTGAGTGAACGGCCACGTGCTGCATCATTCTGTTCAGAGGA